ACTAATGTTTTCCCACCATGCTTTATGAATTCATTTGGGATATCATCCCACCCGCACGCCTTTTCCAGCTTTGCCACTTTTATCCTACCTATAACGTCTTCTATGGTTACGCTATTTGTTAAGTCCGCCGCTTTATCCATTTGGAGGTATACTTCCCCGTTTTGTAAATTTTTGTCAGCCAGGCACGCTCCTTCATCTTCATTTGTCTATTTCCAATGTTTTGTCATTTCCATGTTAATATCACTTTTGTTTTCTAAGACGATACCACTATCGTTTTTTTATTTTATTTCATAGCTGGTTTTGTCTCCTCCATTCCTGACCATGTTCCAAAAGAGTTTAGCACTCGCCTTCCCTGCACTTCTCATCGACTCTATCTGGTTTTCTTCAAACTTAGCTCGTTTTTCCTCAATGATGTAATTTGCTTTATCTTTGGACTCCTCATACACTTGCCTAGCCAGATTTAATTCCTCTTCATTTACTTGTTCCCCTTCGAATTCTAGTTTTCGTATTTTTCTGTACCTTCTGTTGGCCTCCTGTCTCTCTTGTCTCACGCTTTTACAGCTTTGGTCAAACCAAGGTCTATCCTTCCTCACCCCTGCTTTGCCTGACGTTCTGCCTAGATAGCTTTTGTTCCCGCCTCTGTGAGGTCCTTCACTATAGACCTCTCCAATGTTTCAGCATCCTCATAGGGCGAGCATTTTGTCGTTAATTTATTTAGGTTCCTTTCACATTCCCTTTGGAAGGCTCCCCAATTGGCATCTCTAGTTTTCCAAGATTTCTTTATAGTGAAATCTCTGATGCTATCGTTCTTAAATACCTTTAGTACCAGGGTGATTACTAGAGGGAAATGGTCTGTAGTTATGTTTACTTGCCCTTCATAATAGATGTCTATCTTTTTTAATTGACTACGTCACGAATTTTCCATGGTAAAATTTGTAAAATTTTTGTTGCCATTTTTTTACATTAAAAGTAAGAACTAACGAGACTAAACGTATCATCAAATTCTTACCTGATATGATTGTTTCTCAACCAGTTAAAAATCCAAAAAACCTGGACAATTTGATATTGTGTTCCTGACATTAATTGCTTGCTATGGGCTATGTACGAGTCACGAGTGTATGTTCACATCGAACAATGACGTATAGTAAAATGAGAAGTATAATGCAGCAATTTAACCATAAAAAGTAAACAGAATTACTTATATTTTGTGAGTATTTTTAGTATTTACGGTGACGTAATCACTTTAATATATGGTTCCAACTTTCTATTCACAAGTGCAAAGTCTACAACAGATTTGAGGTTGTTTCGACTCCAGGTGTATTTTCCCTTACATCTTTCATCCTCGTTAAATATTTTTACCCCAGAGGTCTCTGTGAAATCCAATAGCAGTTGCCCATTTCTATTTATAGTCTCCTGTATCATGCCTATGTGCCCGTTAAAGTCCCCCATGAGTAAACAACCGTACTTATGATTGTTTAGCCACTCTAGCTGACGGGTCAGGGAGTCGTAGATTGCTACATTCCATTCGGGATTCGTGGCCTTCTGGCCCATATACACAGTGCCAAAGGCAAAGACCCACTTTTCACCTGCCCAAGATGCTCCAACCCATCCTATTTCTGCCCTCGTCATCCCCCTATTCATTTCATTTATCTCCTTTAGGGATTTTAGTCCTAGGTTGCTGCAAGTTATAAACCCTATATTACCACCTCCTCTTTTTTGTCCCTCTTCTCTATTCCATCCAATCCAATCCAGTCCATGGGTATTTTTGGTGAAAATATCTGGTTGGATTCATCACTGAAGAAGGTTTCACCCACCGCCAGTACCCCTAGGCCTTCTTGTATCATCCAGTCGATGGTATCCTGGGATTTATTTTTTGACTTTAGGCAATTTACATTTTTATGATTTAGGCCTAGCCATCCTACTTTAAGTTTAAGTTCATTAAGATTTTGTGTACCTATCCTTGTGGCCCTGTCTTTCTAGTTTCCCTGGTGGATCCTAATGAAGTTCTCAGCCAGTACGCCCACTCGCAATAGATTAACAGTGACAATACAAGTTTATACTCATGAAACATTTCATTCAATCAACAACAGTAATGTAGGGCCTAATGAGTAATGTAACTTTATTTTAAATGACAATTGATGTGAGTGTGTGTGGACAGTAATTAGTATCGACAAATGCCCTCCACATTACTAGTAGTGCCTGGACGATTGTTCGCCATGAATAAGTGAGGATATATAATACTTACGGTAAAGAAGCCAAAAACGCATAAATAATTGCTTACCTTTTCCTTTTTAGGTTTATTTGGCATGTCTAAGACTATATTCTGTTGCTATTGACCTCTTCACAGGTCTTCCACGACACTCCTACTGACGTACAGCATAATTGGACATTTTTGTGCACGTGTCATTGTCGTTTGTGTCGACGCGTTTCATTGGCCTATGGTATATTTGGCTGTTAGACTGGTACTCGCTCCCACCTCTCGGCTTATTAGGTAACTTTAGGTTATAAGGGTGTCTATATTCAAGCCGGTACGGGAGATTGCGGTACGCATATATTTGCTAATATTTGCTCATATTTGCTATATATTGACTAATTGTGGTCGGCATATGTTTCCATGAACCAAAGTCTCCTCGTGACGTACACTGACGTCACGCACGAACTCGGCTATCTCCGAAGTTGAATCAGAGCTGGTTGAATGCATACAGCATACTGCATAATGCATACTGCTGATGGTGCTGGTGGTTGCGCATGGTCTTATTCCATACTACGCGGCATATCAACTTCCGCATCAGACTTTCCGTATATCAAAGAATGATGCAAAAACCATAACCCTAACCTCAACCCTAACACTAACTATATAATCCGACTCGGCTATCTTATATACTATCTATGGTATTATCCATGGCATTATGGTATATCCCAAACACTATCTGTGGTGTATAGATAGCCACTGACGTCACACTGACGTTCACAGACGTCATAGTGGGCGGATATGTGTCTGAGGTGTGCACTTCTGGAAAGAAGCATGAAAATTTGGCTCTAGGGGGGTTTTGAGTATGCTAATTTCAAAAATTGCGGGAAACACGATGTCACTCCGATCTATCATAACATCTTCCCGCCAAAAAAATTAAAATCTAAAATGGCTGCCACAAAACGCAATTCTTTGCCATAAAATAGGCTATACGTGGCCACGGATTACCAGGATCTAGTTTATCTATACCTGTTTTTTATGTCAAGGAACCCGATGGAAAACATGAAATATCCTAACCTACATCTTCAATTAAACAAAAACAATATAAAAATGTTTTTTTTAGGTCAAAGAACTGGGTAGAACACGTGAAAAACTATGATAAAAACTTAAGTATGCCATCTCTACTTCAGTTTCATAATTTCTGTTACAGCTTTGGAAGGTACGCCTGCGCGCCCGCCAAAACATCATTCCATCAGATTTCATGAAGAGACGCAGGTGCACGCAAATGAAAGCACGCGCGTATGCGTGTAAAAGCAATTCAATGGTTGTATCAATATATTATGTTAAAACATTAAATGATCTCTGTCAGTGTCTCATATGATCAGATTTGCTTGCTTATTCTCTGTTACACTGTCCTGAAGCAGAAGCACATCTTGATGTACACTCGAGATTTGGCTTTGACACACTTGCATCTTTTGTACATGACTTTTTGTATCCACATTTAACAGTTCCTGCTAGCTTTGCTGCCTCTGGAAGAGTGGTCCAGCATGGAGTCATGGGGAATCATCTGTCACTCTCTCACAGCCCCATAAATCTGGCCGATGGAACTTCAGGGTCTCCTATAAGAGTGACTGTCCCCAGATGTGCCCTGCCTGATAAACAGTCCTTTTCACATGCTGTTCCCGCATGCAACGTTAGAGGAATGTTTTTCCATCTTACGGTTTTGAGTGAACAACTGCTTCCTGCCTTCATTCACATGGCTGAGTGCTGATGTTCGCTGATACAAGAGAAACAACATATCTCTCTATTTGCTCAGCTCCACGTCGTCGGGGATACCTAGCTAGGGAGCATGGGATAACTGAGCAAAAATCGGTTTGAGATGAGCGCATACTGCCCAAACAGCCAAAGCTGTTCTCTTTCCAATTCCATGGACGGCAGGACACAGTATCAGCCATCCTGATATTTGCGTGAAGAATAGAAGACCCCATGATTCATCGTTGCCTAATTCAGCTGCAATTAGGTGGCACTGAATGTAAAGTAGTTTAGCACCATGACCAAATGCTATCAATATTTTCCCAGTCCTATAAAACACTTGACACTGCAATTGCGATTAACCACCACATCAAGTATCTGTTGCATGTATCATCAGCTTGGTAAACGCCATGATGGAATGAATGGGAAGCATAAAACAGGAGCCGTGTGTCTGCTCTTCGTGAGTGCAGAACAAATCTGAACAGTCAGCTATGGGAGATGATACAGCATCTGGCCATGTGTGGAGTTCACTAGCTTCTGTGGAGGAGGTTGAAACTCTTGTATTGCATTGGCTAGCCTAGAAGTTGGAACAGGCTGTCTTTGTTTGCATCACAGCGAAGGAAGTTCTTCCAGTTAACAGGAATCATGGTGTTATTGTCCACCCGGAGATGATTACCAGATCCACGGTTCTGTCTGTGTTTGTGCCTTAGGCTGTCCTCCCTGTAGACATCCCAGACAACATCTACGCGAACAACGTCTTGTAGCATGTGTTCTATATAGGGAAAGAACACCAATTGTGAATAGTTCTGGAATGTTTTGAAAGAAAGTTGGGACTTCTTTGGTCAAGCATGTGCACAATGGCAGCACCGTCAAACAATGTTGACATCAACATTTGGAACAGATTCCGGCTGTGGTACCAATGACTCCAAGCATTCATCAAGTCAGATTTGCTTGTTTGGCGATGATACTGTTTGACGCCAACGATGGAGGCCAAGCATGAATTTCATGTGCGAAGAAGGCATCCATATCACTTTCTTTAGCTTTACACGATATATACAGCCGTGAGAAGAGATGAACATAATTGTGTAGGTTGGAAATATTAGAAGTGGACTTCGCAGTTTCTTTCCTGAACTAGAAATTCAACAGAGGAAGATTGTACCTATGTATATGGTGTAATTGAATGCAGTGATTTGTCATTGATACGCTCCGCAACAAAATTTTTGGTACTCGTCTTTGCCTATGTTTCTGCAGACCTTATGGTATCTACCACACTATCGGACATTATCTGTTTGGTATTAAGCAAGCCTTTTGCACACTTGGTATTTGTTCATGGTGGCGTTCTGTGTCCTTCTTTTTAATTGAATGTTTGTCATCATACTCCATTAATAGTCTAGCTGTTTCTGGACCTGCCACCCTCCACCGTCTCAGTGCTGCTTTATTTTCAGTGATACCTATACGCCTCCATCTCCTTTCACCATTGCATTCGCTGTTCATGAACTTGATCATGGGCTAGTGCTTAGAATTTGTGCATGGTTTTCTGTGTCACAAAGTTGCCTTTGAGAAACTCTGCATGTGTGGCAGCGGCAGTTAATCTCGAGGGCAAGTTTATCTCTCACGTGAACCGTCATCCAGCGATCATAGTGATAGTGGTCAAAGAGCGAACATTCACGGAATAATCTTTCCAAGTGACTCCACATAGGCAACATATTTTTTGTTCACGCTGTGATCTAAGGAACGACACGTTTTGGCAGGCACGCAGACGAGCCTTCCAAAGTGTAACAGAAATTATGAACTGAAGTATAGATGGCATTATTTTTTCATCATGATTTTTCACATATGTGTAACCGAGTTCTTGACCTAAAAACATTTTTATATTGTATTTGTTTAATTTGAAGATGTATGTTAGGATATTTCATGTTTTCCATCGGGTTCCTTGACATAAAAACTGGTATAGATATCTAGATCCTGGTAATCGTGGCACGTATATAGCCATTTTATGGCAAAGAAATGGCGTTTGTGGCAGCCATTTTGGATTAATTTTTTTGGGCGGGAAGATGTTATGATATATCCCAATGTGTTCTATACCAGTTCTATGGGGTTCATTGACCTCAAAAACATATGTATAGAGACCAAGATCAATGGTACTTGTGCACTTACAGCTGATTTATGGGCAAAACTGTGTTTTGTGGTGGCCATTTTGAATTTTCAACTTTTTGGCGGGAAAATATATCTTATGATATTTGACAAGAGTTTTATTGCATTCTTTGACTTCAAAAACATAGGTATAGACGCCAAGATTATGGTAATCGGGGCACTTACAGCTGATATATGGGCAAAAACATGTTTTCTGGTGGCCATTTTTTATTTTTTATTTTTTGGCAGGAACCGTTGGAGTAACATCGTGTTTCCCGCAATTTTTGAAATCAGCATACTCAAAACCACCCTAGAGCAAATTTTCATGCTTCTTTCCAGAAGTGCACACTTTAAGTAAAAAATGTCACATATCCGCCCCACTATCACGAGGATACTTTGGTTCATGGAAACATATGCCCACCACTAATCGTGCGTCAATAAACTCAATATTCACAGAGAGTATAGCTAAGACATGTGTCTATACTAGTATAGGTATCTAGAATTTTAGTTGCGCAATAAGTTGTGGATATAGAAATCAGTTAACCCTGACCCTAACCCTAATCCTAACCCTAATTCTAAAATAAGACAAAATTAGCCAAAAATAATAAGAAATAAAATAAATAAGAGACAAAATTAGCCAATCAGAGCTGTCCCCTAACGGATCACTATCTCTCCCCTGTGCAAAATTCGCAGCCGGCTGAAAGGTGCGATAGGATATGTTTACTAGGCACTTCTAATTTTAACATATATTTTACGATATATTAAAGAATGATGCAAAAACCCTAACCCTAACCCTAACCCTGATATATATATGTTATAAAACATGCCTAGTAAACATATCCTATCGCACCTTTCAGCCGGCTGCATAAAGTTCTATGATAACAATCACCGACACATATTACCCGTGATGCTTTGTACCGACGTGGCAACAGGGGGGGGGGGATATGAAATGACGGCACAGGTGCGAATTTGAGAAAAGAAACACTAGATAAAATTATGAGCATGTTTATATTATCATAATATCTCATTATTTTCCATAAATAATCTATCTACATATAATCATTAACTACTAAATAATAATGTTACAACAGAGCTTAGCATTTCGAGTTGACAAAACATTGTCCAAAATCACATAGGCCTACAACCGTAGAACGAAGTCCAAAAATCCAGATGCCAGAAATCCGGACCACCCAAGAATTCGGACTTTTCTTCAAAAACTCTCAAAGTTAACTCTATGTTAAATAAACTAAAAATAATTTATTAATTTGTATAAAATAACTTCCGCTTTCATTTGTTTACTCTATTTTGCGTTTACAGTGTTCAATTTTAAATGATTTTAATC